TGTGCGCGAGTTGCCTTATTATAAAATCTGTTTTTATGTGTTGTTGGGACAATAACACATCGCTTCCGCAAACAATTGTGATTTTCTTTCTCGTTCTCGCCACATCTGCGATAAACCTGCACACGTCTGAAAACATCACGACACAAACACAGAACAGACTCACCTTCACCTTCAACACTCTGTCAGAAAACTCATATTCCACTGAGTCGTGTCCTTCAGTCCCACAGAAGCTGAACCGCATCAGCGACACAAAGTTTATGCAAATTAGCCATGCGGTTTTTAAGTTTCGTTTCTGTGAGACTTGCGCAAATCAGCATTAAACACATTATAATTTCAAACGAGCTGATGTGGCTCTAGAGTGTTCATGGTTTATATGTTATAGTAATAATGTAATAATGAATTTAAATGAAAATACCTCAAATTGAAGGCTTTTCTCAGCATTTTTTAGGTGAGATTAAAAAGAGATTAATTAGATTAATTAATTACAGATCATAATTAATTAATCTCTCTTTTTTTTTTATCGCCTGACAGCACTATAAATAATATGTCATTATAATATGTAATATTATAATTACATGTGTTAGGATCCAACAACCACACAATTACGATGTCTGAATCCCAAAACTAAAATATGACAATATCAGAACCAGAAACAAAAGTGATATGTTTCAAAAGACTTGAAAAGATCAACTTTGACAATAGACACATCCCACTGGGAAAACAAACATGGCGGTTTGATGTTCACTTTTTTGGAAAATCCTTCCCAGTATGGATTGCGCAATGACCGGAAGTCCGAAAATCATGATGAATGTATGGAACAAGACTTTTGGTACTTAAAATATGAAAATACATCTTGCTACATAAGAAAAAAAAAAAAACTTTTTTCACCTAAAATAAAGAAACAAAATCTAATGTTGCTTGAATTAAGAAAAAACACTTATTCCATTGGTGGATCATTTTACTTGTCAAGTTGAATCGACTCAAATAAAGCAAAATATTCTTAATTTAAGACATTTTAATTGAGCTAGTATTGGATTTTTGCAGTGCAGGCATCAAAATGATACATGTACAATCAGTGTTGGGAAGGTGACTTTTAAAATGTATTCCCCTACAGATTACAGATTACATTCCCCAAAATGTAGTTTGTAACGTAATCCATTAAATTACTTCAAGTGAGAAACGTAATCTGAATACTCTGGATTATTTGATTTTCTGTAGAGAAACAAAGACTAGGAAATCTTCACATGAGAAGTTTTATTTGCTAAAAGAAAATAAAAAGGCCAGACTTTAGTTAACCAAATTAAAAATATTATTGATAGAAGAGGAGGAGAAACAGTCCACGCAGCATGATTTAGTCCTGTTAAATCCTGGTTTAGACCTGGTTTAGTCTTGTTAAATCCTGGTTTAGACCTGGTTTTAGACCTGGTTTTAGACCTGGTTTAGACCTGGTTTTAGACCTGGTTTAGACCTGGTTTAGACCTGGTTTAGACCTGGTTTAGACCTAGTTTAGACCTGGTTTAGACCTGGTTACCTCCGCCAAGGAGGTTATGTTTTTGCCGGCGTTTGTTTGTTTGTTTGTTTGTTTGTTTGTTTGTTTGTTTGTTTGTTTGTTTGTTTGTTTGTTTGTTTGTTTGTTTGTTTGTTTGTCTGTTAACAACATAACTCAAAAAGTTATGGACCGATTTTGATGAAATTTTCAGGATTTGTTGGAAATGTGAAAAGGAAAAACTGATTTCATTTTGGCTCTGATCCGGAAGAAATCCTGGATTCTGGATCACTTTGAAATTTTAGTTAACATTGTGGTAAATGGGGCCAAAAATTTTGTTTCTCAATATCTCGGTTAATTATTGACCAAACCCCATGAAATTTGACTCAGGGATGGACAATGGGATCCTCTTTCATATTCCAAAGGCTGATCCGGATCTGATCCAGAAGACTGATTTTATCGCAATTTATATAAAAAATGGGGGTAGTCCTTGGCGGAGGTCTGCGCTCTCTGACTGCTTTTCTAGTTTATATCTTGGTTAGACCTAGGTTAGACCTGGTTTAGACCTGGTTTAGACCTTGGTTAGACCTGGTTTAGACCTGGTTTAGCCCAAAATGTAAAAACAAAAAAATACCTCTTTGTAATCCATTTATTTCAACAAAGTAACTGTAATCCAATTACCACTCACTGAATCAGTAACTGTAACTGAATACAGTTACTCATACTCCAGTACATGTAATCTGTTACTCCCCAACACTGCGTACAATGGGAACAGGCATTTAATCCAAATTTTACTTATTCAGCACAATACATATAATTCCGAAATGCCCTGGCGAGAAACTTGGAAGAGGATCCAGCATCTTTCCGTGGACACAACCAGGTGCAGGACTTGTACCAGAAAAGTTACACAGTGCAGCTTTTAAAACAGTCTAACAAGCAAAACCTACAGATGGTCTAGTTCGTTAGGAGGTTATCTAGTTATTGTCATTGTGAACGAGAATCTTATTATATTCATTTTATACTTAATGTTCGCTACAGCTGAAGTGCAAAATGTTCTGTTCTGTAACCTTGAACGGTGCTTTATGATTTTCCGTTTAATGATATAAACTGCAGACGCTCCGGAAGATTCCCAGGGTAAAACTATCAGCTAAAGATAATGTTTATAAATGGACAACACTAAAGCTTTGGACCCTCAGACTCTCGGAAAATCTCTACTGATATTTTTTTGCCTGTGTGTGTTTGAATCCTGCTGTAACGTCATTAAAGGTCGTGCAGAACCAACGCTGTGCCTCTACGCCTGTTTTTTTTGTTTTTATTTCTTTTTGCAAGATACAACAGAAATAGGGTAACCAGATTTTCAACCAGATTCCCGGTTTGTGGTGCTTGGTAATAATAAAATTGTGAAATGAGTGTGTGATTAAGTAAAAAAAAAAATTGCAGTCAGCTCATTCATGACGAACACGAGTCACTACAGTCACATTTTCTTTGTGGTTTGGTCGTTTTTAAGCAGCTTTTCTGTATTTTACCTAAACAAATGACAATTACCGTATTTTTCGGACTATAAGTCGCACTTTTTTTCATGGTTTCGGTGTTTTCTGTGACTTATACTCCGGTACGATATATATATATTAAAAATTTGAGAGTCGTGGGAGGCTCTAGTCTTGTGTGTCAGTATCTGCTGCTCTTATTACTCCTGTACCACCGTCACTTCGCTCTACTGTGCATGTCTCCTGCAGAAAAAGCCGCTGTCCTGCTGCAAGTCATGAAATATTCAGCTGAAAACAGTAATCGAGCAGCAGAAAGAAAGTTTGGAGTGAGCGAGAAACTTGTGAGGGACTGACGGAAAGCGGAGATGGAGAACACAGCTGAAAGTCACTGGATGAATCGACAAAGTCTGAACTTCAGTGACAACTGAAACCATCCTGTCAGGATTCAGAAAGACCGGAATAATTCTAACTGGAACTGATGCTGAGTCTGACGACAGCGACACAGAAGAGGAAGCGACGCTCTGTTTACCTCCGGAGGTCGTGGAGTTGCTCAGAAGTGACACCGAGGATGAAGAATTGAATGGATTTAGTGATTTGGAGTGAGATGGAGAGTTTGTTAAACTTGTTCTGTTCTGTTGTTTATGTTATAGTTTATCTGAAGAACTGTTCATATGTGACGTTAACAGTCTGTTGTTCTCTGTTATGTTGTTATTACTAAATGTCGGTTCCTGGTTTCTGATTTTATAAAATACATTTCCCCAAAAAAGTCTGACTTATATATGTTTTTTTCTTCTTCATTATGCATTTTTTGGCTGGTGGGACTTAGGCTACGTTCAGACTGCAGCCTGAAGTGACCCAAATCTGATTTTTTTGGCCCCTATGTCACCTGTATCTGATCTTCTAATGACAGTCTGAACGACACAGATCCGATTTTTTCAAATGCGACCCAGGACACTTGGATATGTGGTCCAATACATATCCAATATTTTGACATGTGACTTCAGTCTGAACGGCCAAAGCGCATTTATCCAACCTACATGTTATCAACAAGCTACAAATGTACACAAACGTTCTTCTCGTCATACAAAAATTGTTAATGAAGTCCTTCCACATCCACACGTTCCTTTCAACAGACTGTCCCACAAAACACCACGGCCAAAAACCTCGTCCTTCTCCTTCTCAATCTCCTCTTTAAAACAAGGAAGTTGTTCATGTTTTGGCTCCGGTACGAGAGGAACTTTAAAATCTCCAGGTGCTCAATGCTGCGTCCATGTTTGGACAACTTCTGTAAACACAGAGTCATGTCTCCAATGAACATGCGGGACACTTTTGGGGCATTTAATGTTCACACAGTAGTTCACATACAAGTCGCATTTAATTGGAAATGTGAACGACCTCGCAAAAACATCGGATTTCACAAAAAAATCGGAATTGAGCGTTAAGCCCTGCAGTCTGAACGTAGCCATATACTCCGGAGCAACTTATACTCCGAAAAATACGGTAATGCCTCTCTTTACTCCTGGCAGGGATCAGATTGGCCAAAAATCGGGACACTTTGGACATTTTTTTGTATAAAACTGGGACAAATCACTGGTTTTGGACAAATCTGCAGGGACAGGAGACATAGGGCTCAAAACTGGGACTGTCCCGGGTAAATACGGACGTCTGGTCACCCTACACAACAAGCAAGTTTAATGCCATACTGTGGTACATTCCAGGGAAAGCAACCTCTCTATTTCTATCAACCAGATTGCAGAACTTGTACCAGAAAAGTTACATAGTGCGTCTTTAAAACAGTCTAACACGCAAAACCTACAGGTGGACTAGTGAGTCAGTGGTCAGCAACAAATATCATCTCACATTTCAATCAATTTAATTATAATTTAGTTAAAAATGTTTTTGCAGAGAGGGATGCGCGCGTTTTTGCTCCACAGTCATTCAAAAAAAAATGTGGCAAGTTTAAAATTCGAGATAAAAAATGCAAAAAACAGCGAGATAGTTTGTGTTTAAGTGCATTTTTGACTGACCAGATTGAAGACGGTGTCCACAATGTCCCGGTTGCTGACTTCTCCAACCTGGATGAGCCGGACCAGCACCGCGAACTTGGTCCTGATGTCCCGGAAAGACACCGCCGGGTCCAGGAGCTCGGAGCCGCAGCCGGGCACGGTGAGGGTCTCCCCGGGGTGCCCTGGGGGAGTCCGCCGCTGCTCGGTCACGGTCCCCAGCAGCATGGTCCCCCCGTCTGTCCCGCTCCCTCTCCCCGCCTGGCGCTGTCTCCGGAGCGGGCACCTGCGGGAGAGAAGAGGCTCTGAAGCTCCGGGGGAAGGAAAGGAAGCAAAATGGCACAAAATACGGGCAAATCCAGAGGAAATAGTCCAGTGGAGTGGGGTGAAAGTGCCGGGAGAAGTGCGCGCAGACTGAGCCGAGTGCGCTCTGGAAGTGGCCGCTCTTCTGGACGGATGCTCGGGGTCGTGGTGCTGGAGTGTGCGCGGTGCTTCTGTGGAGGAGAGAGGAGACTGGACACTTTCTGCGTCATTTTATCGCCATCTGCCGGTGGATTTATGAAGTTTTGCGCGCTCGGTGACCAGATTTTCAAAATAAAAAACTGGGACTAACTATGGCAGACGTGGCGAGGAGAAAAAATCAGTTTGTCGACTGGACAAAAGTTAGTTTGGTGGAAGACGTTTCGCAGCTCATCCAAGTTGCTTCTTCAGTTCTGGTCAGACGTTGGTGGACACTTCCTTACGTCTGTCTGCAGGAGGAGAATCCGTGTCTCATTCGTTCATTCGTTTTTCAATATAAAACCAAAAATAAGAAAATGAAACAAAAATAGTTTTCTTCATTATTTGTCTCCTAAACTAAAATGAAAAAAAAAACGGATAATGATTCATTTTTTTTTCAGTTTTCGATTTTGTGTTTAAATAAATAATTTAATGCCGGACTGAACCAGGACTGATCCAGGTCCGGGACTGAGACCAGACCAGGACCAGGACCGTAGGGTTTGAGCCTCAGCTTCGAGTTCCGGCCCTGCCGTGGGCTCTGGTCTCGGTCTTAGTCCTGGTCTGTTCCCGGCCTGGTCCGGTCTAGTCCCAGTCTCAGTTTCTGATCTCAGTCTAGTCTGGTCCAGTCTGGTCATGGTCTGGTCCGGTCTCAGTCCACTCTGGTCCAGTCTGGTCCGGTCTGTTCCCGGCCTGGTCCCGGTCTGGTCTCAGTCTTAGTCCCGGTCTAGTCCCAGTCTCAGTTCTGGTCTCGGTCTCCAGTCTGGTCCCGGTCTGGTCCCGGTACTGGATCAGCACAGGCGCACAAACGCCACAGACAATTCTATGGTTTACAGTAACAAATTGGTCACAAACAGGGACTCCAGGGATATTTCTTTTATAAAACTGGGGCAAATTACTGTTTTTGGATAAATCCACTGGGACAGGGGCCACAGAGCTCAGAACTGGGACTGTACCGGGTAAATAGGGACGTCTGGTCAGCCGAGGCAAAATGAGAAAATGTCTCATATTCTCCAGCAGCTTAATAAATCTGCCCACACTCCTCTCCAGATCTCAGGAGCTAAGCAGGACCGGGGCCTGGGTCGTGCAGGATGGGAAACCTGTGGGAATTTCAGGTGCCACAGTGAGACGCCAGTGTCAAAAACTGTTGTTGTGTCCTTAATAAAGACAGAAAAACACTGCACCCACAATAATCATGGATCTATTAAAATAATGGAGATGTGTGTGTGTGTGTGTGTGTGTGTGTGTTTGTTTGTGTGTAATGATGGTGACTGAAGGGGCGGGCGGTGCACATTGGCGCTTGCTTCTGTCACTCTACCCCAGGGCAGCTGTGATTTGTTCCAGATTTCTCGAGTATGTAACACTGTGACTATAGCACCACTTTCAACACACTGATATCATTTGGCCCCACAAAAGCAGATTTGGCGAGAAAAAGTAGAAAATAATCACAGTTTATTGGTCTGTCTCCCTCAAATACAACTATGCTGTTATATCAGTTACTTATCTGTATACTTTAAGTTCACTTTAATACTCTTATGGTACTTTGTAGAGAAATGTTTTGTGTGTTAGTAGAAAAGTTGTCAGGATGTAATTTCCATCTGTAGCCAGTAGAGGGCGGAGACGTTCCACTGGTTGAAATGACACACTCAAGAAACACAATATTCAAAGTTTTCAATGTTTAAATTGTTTTATTGAAAAACAAGTCCGTTGTTGTGGGTCCAGTACCTAAAGCAGGTATGAGCTACTCACACCGTAAGTCATGGGTCAAAGGTCAAAGGTCACATCCAGAGGTTTCGTAACACAGCACTGGCACTACTCAAGCAAAGTAAAACCAGTTTACAATGTGGACCATGTGCATCAGAGTAAATGTACCATAGATAAGAACTGGACAAACTGAATATAATAATTATACTTTAGATATGTACAGTATTTATAGTTATACACACACATGTACCACCCTTGGGTGTAGCACTGACATAATTATAGATTTAGATGAAAAAGAATAACATATCTGCTTCTCAGAAGCTTTAACATCTTAAATGTCGTAGGAACGACAACACAATATTCATTAATTATGACAATAATAATTACATTATTATTATTATTTGAAACGACACATAGTAAATATAAAATAGAATGGCAGGATTCTGGTCAGCACCGATCATGAGGCTCTGTCAGAGTGAGGTCCAGTATGTGAGACACAACGCTGTAGTACTGTGTAGTGTTTTACACAATACTATTTCAATACTACAATGTATGTTTTTAACAATAAATAAAAGTACTTTCTCTATTTCCCCTTATGATGTTTTTAGTTAACACACTGATTCTGAAAACACTTGAGGTTATTCTACAACGGTTCAGGAAAGATCCAATATTGTCCACAGACTGATACTTGTTCAAATGAGTATCGAGTTTTGATACTTGTTTTAGTATTGATTAGTATCTGATTTATGATACTTTTGACAGCCCCAGTACTCTGTCCAGTACATGAGAGACTCTAGGCTGTAGTACTCTGTCCAGTTTGTAAAATCATGAGGCTGTGCTGTGGTGCTCCTCAGATCTTGGTCTCGGGTCCGTCTGCGATCAGGGGGGTGAAGGAGTTACGGATGCGCGCGGCCTCTGCGGCGCACAGGTGACCGAAGGCTTTGTTGTACCAGTCTGGAGTCCTGCCTCTGCAACACAACACACTCTCGTTACACACAGGCTACAGACAGGAGCAGACAGGAGCAGACAGGAGCAGACAGGAGCAGACAGGAGCAGACCGGTGTGTGTGTGCGGTCTTACTTGAGGTCCACTCTGCAGATGTGGGTGAGTCTGGACTTGCCGGACCCACAGGGCTCCAGGAGGTAGTTGGACTCCAGGACGATGGCTCTGACTCCTCCAAAAGACGGACAGTCCTCGAGCTCTATGGACACAGAGACCAGGGAGCAGGCGCCTCGGGGCAGGTCCGTCCTCCAGGTTCTACACACAACAATAATATCATCTGTTAATATTCGACAGTAGCAGAAGTGGCATGAGTCAGTATTTCAAGAAGATCTCGCAAGACAAAACTGCCATAAGACTCTTCACATGTGAGGAAAATCATCTTGTGACATTTTTTTCCACGTACTTTTACATTTTCCTTGAATAAAAAAGGTTAAATTTGCTGAGTAACTCCTCTTGAGAAGCTGTAATACTAAAAAGCAAGCACTACAAGGACAACAAAACTCCACAGAAAAATGTTAAAGCCAAAATTGTGAACTGAATGGCACAATTTATTTATTAAAGATAAAAAAATATATATGAAAATCTTGTTTTGTCTCATTCCCGTGAGTCGAATCTCGTGTCATGTCTCATCTAGAAAAAATTGTGTCTCGTCCCATCCCCAGTAATCCATGTATAATTCTTTAATTCATTTTTCAAAATAAAACCAAAAATAAGAAAACGAAAAAACAAATTTTCTTCATTATTTGTCTCCAAAACCAAAATGAAAAAACGGAAAACGATTTGTTTTTTTCAGTTTCCGATTTTGTGTTTAAACAAATAATAGAAAAAACGAATAACGGACGTTTCCTGTTTCCGTGACGTTAAGTGCGGTGCTGGACTGAACCAGGACTGAACCAGGACTGAACAACCTGACTAACCAGGTCTAAAACAGGTCTAAACCAGGTCTAAACCAGGTCTAAACCGGTCTGATCCTAGTCCCAGTCCTGATCTGGTCCCGGGCTCAGTCCCAGTCTCAATCACAGTCTGGTCCCAGTCTGGTCCCGGTCCCAGTCTCGGTCTGGGTCTGGTCCCAATCTCAATCACGGTCTGGTCCTGGTCTCAGTCCCAGTCTGGTCCCAGTATCAGTCCCGGTCTGGTCCCGGTCTCAGTCCTGGTCTGGTCCCGGTCCTGGTCCAGGTCTCAGTCCAGGTCTCAGTCCTGATCACCTGACAGTCTACGCAGGTGCACCTCAGGGCCCGTCCCAACACTCATTCCTGGTTTAGTGCTGATTTAGTTCTGGTTTAGTCCTGGTTTTAATCCTGGTTTAGTTCTGGTTCAGTCCTGGTTCAGTTCGACATCACAGTTTAAGTCACGTAAAACGGTCGTTATTCGTTTTTTCCATTATTCATTTAAACACAAAATCGAAAAATGAAAAAACAAATCATTATCCGTATTTTCATTTTGGTTTTGGAGACAAATAATAAAGAAAATTGCTTTTTCGTTTTCTTATTTTTGGTTTTATTTTGAAAAACAAATGAACGAATGATACACAGATTCCCAGTTAATGCCATTTTTATAGAGACAAACAAAAGTCACAACCCACATAAGTTGGACACGATTATTTTTGTTTTACTGCACATCGCTCTAGGTTTGTGAAGTCGTAGTGTATTGTTTTATATCCTACTCTTGTATATTTATGAAAAACATCAGTGCAAAGGAGCAGATGACATATAAAACCACTTCAGGCGTGTTTTTGATGAGGGAACAACTTTATAACACGGTAGTCAGTTTTACATAATACCCTCTCTTTAAGGGAACGTTCACATTTGCCCACAAACCAAATCAAAAGAGGGACTAAACCCGGGACTTCACCGGGACTAGACCATAAACCAGACCTAAAGAAGGACTCTGTATACAGCAGCACAGCGAGGACTCACCGCAGCAGCACGAAGTCTCTGCTGGGGTGGGGGGGCATACAGTTGAGGGAGTACTGGAAGACCTCCGTGTGTCTGTCCAGGGTCTCGCACACTTTCCACTGCAGCAGGTCCACGTCCCACAGGTGGCGCTCTCGCAGCACCCGGTTCAGGACCACAGAGGGAGGGGCTTCCACCTCCACCGACACCTTCCAGCGACGCAGCAGGTTCCCATCTCCGACCTGAGGACACAAGACAAGCTCAGAATGAAGAACGGGCGAGAATGGGGCAATAAACAATAATATCGTTTCTCGTGATAAAAAAGGCAACGGGAACACAGCTTCTGAAGTGAGGCGGCTGGGATGAGGATCAGCTCTTCTAAGTCCGAGGCCATGGTTCTGGACTGGAAAAAGGTGGCTTGTCCTCTCCGGGTGGGTGGAGAGTCCTGCCTCTAGTGGAGGAGTTCAAGTATCTCGGGGTGAGTGAGGGGAGGATGGAGCGTGAGATTGACAGGCAGATCGATGCAGCGTCGGCAGTGATGTGGTCGCTGTATCGGACCGTTGTGGTGAAGAGGGAGCTGAGTTGAAAGGTGAAGCTCTCGATTTACCGTCAATCTACGTTCCTCCCCTCACTTATGGTCATGAGCTCTGGGTAATGACCGAAAGAACGAGATCATGGATACAAGCGGCCGAAATGAGTTTCCTCCGCAGGGTGGTTGGGCGCTTCCTTAGAGATAGGGTGAGGAGCTCAGTCACATGAGAGGAGCTCGGAGTAGAGCCGCTGTTCCTCCAAGTGGAGAGGAGCAGCTGAGGGAAGGACATCTGTTCCCGGTGCCTCCTGGGCGCCTTCCTTGGGAGGTGTTCTGGACACAATCCACTGGGAGATGGCACAAGAAGAAGACCCAGGACATGCTGGAAGGATTATGTCTCTTGGCTGGCCTGGGAACGCCTTGGGGGAGCTGGAAAAAGTGTCCAGGGTGAAGAAGTCTGGGAGTCCCTGCATAGACTGCTGCCCCCACGACCCGGCCCCGGATAAGCGGAAGAAAATGGATGAATGGGTGATTAAAAAGGTAGACCGTGTGACATGTTATATAATCGCCAACAAAATTAATCACCATTTTATCACCAGAATGTGCTGAAAAAAAGTTGCTTATCCTTGATGTTTTCTTCTAGATCATTGTTGTTTTCACTCATAAAGTACAATTCTGTAACAGTTTAAATATTGAACATATTCATAATATTAAAAGTATAATTAACCATGATAATAGTGACCAGGCCCGTCAACAGAAATTTGGGGACTTGGGGCAAAAAGCATCACGCAGGTCCTCCTCTAATATCATTTATTAGGAAGCCTGGGGCCCGGGACAACAGACCTCTTTGTCCCTCCCTGTCTTCTGCCCTGATCATAACACCAAATTTCAATATTGTAAAATTGTGCTTAGAACAGAAATGAGGTATAAACATATAATATACTGTAGCTTATTAATGTCTAATAAATAAGGTAACTAATTCTAAAGCATTACCAAACTGTAAATTGTAACGATCATTTTTACCAGACTGTATACAACCCATGACCCGCGTTCACTTTACAGTATCTCTCTATAAATCTGTAAAGTCCATAGCAAAAGAATCTGTCATCAGTTTTTCTTAGTTCTTGTCCATAGCACCCACCTTCTTGTAGTGCAGCTCGGTGTTGTCGGCGCTGGTGCAGGAGACCCAGTGCTTGGACTTCTCGCGGGCGTCTCGGAGAAAAGCCTGCAGCCTGTTCTCCATGTGGGTGTGGTAGGTCCCGTCGTCCTCCTCCAGCTGCCTGCAGAGCTCGTCCATGGTGGGGGCGTGCATGTCCGCCTCCACGTACGAGTTACGAGACTGGGTCACCATCTCGTGAGGGATCTGAGGGGGGCAGAGGGACACAGAGTCAGACACAAAGCGCGTAAGAGTCTGGGATTATTTATGACTTTCTTTCCCAGTCTGGCCATTTTTTAGGTTTAAAATTTTACTTCTTAGTTGAAAACATAACATCACACTACAGGTAATTCCAAAACCATGATGTGGTGTGGGCCAAAACTCCTCTAATGCACACAGAGATTATTATTTAACAAATAAAAAACACGTTTATTCTGTTGAAATCATGTTTAAAGTATCAGAAAATGTGTTTTGTAAGTATAAATTCTGCCTAAATTTAGGACTCTAAAATAGAACTCTCTACTTCCTGTAATTTCCAACATATTTTTCAACTTTTCTTCACAAACTGCTTCTCGGTTGGTGTAAAACTATAATTTATATTTACAACAGGTATTATAGCACCAAATTAACAAAAAATTAAAGACTAATCTAAACTTATCATACACATTTTATTCGTATTTAGGCTTCTAGCTTCACTGACTTTTGTTTTGGGCCAAGTAGAGCTGCAACGATTAAATCAGAATAGCTGTGACTATATAAATAATTCTAATTAGATTTTGATCATTGTAATCGTTTTCTGGATTGGAAAAGTAGTTATTAAATAAAAACTGCATGAATGAATCATCAATAAAGCACATTATCCATAAATATTCTCATTCAAGAAGTCTTCAGTCACCCTATTTCTTCATGGCTCATTATTATTAAACTTTTATATCATTATACTGTATGTGTCTTTTAAATCCATTGGTTTCAGACTGATAAAATTAACAATTACAATTTGCACTTTCAAGTAACAATTTTAAACTAAATATATCTTTGGTAAAGTCCTCAGAATGTTTCAGATAAGAGGAAAAAGGAAGCCATGAATACAAACATGATTATTCTCTCCCACAGTTACAATCTCATGTTAAGTGAAGCTGAAACAAACTATTATCCTTCAAGTCGCCTTTAAACAGAAAAAACTGAGCCCAACACTACTGGATGTACATTTCTTTTCAGACGAGCTTAATGTGAGATAGAAACTTGTCGATGAGAAATGAACCGGTCACATCCACAAAAAGCTGTCGTACCTCAAAGAGCCTGTTGCACTCGGTGATCATGTGGGCCAGACCCTGTGTGGCGGCTAAGTTCTCGTTGAGGTCCTTCTGGTCTGGTCGTCCTGTGGAGTATTTCTTCTGTAAGGCCCTGGGTCAAACGCAAAGCACATCATCCACAAGGTTAGAAATGTAACTGTTACCTTTGATTTATTTATTTAGCACAAATATAATATATAATAATAGTAAAAAAGCACACTAGATAAAAATAGGTGCCAAAAGAGGCAAAAAAAAAGCCCCAAATGGGTAAGTCTCCACCTTATGAATACATTAAAATTGAACATCAAACATTTAGACTTTAGACATTTATCTACATTTATACATTTGATTCAAACATGGATTAAAATACAAAGAAACATCCCACAATTGAATAGAAATAATAACAGTGATAAACCTATAGTTATGGCAATAAAACTAAAACCATATTTTTATAATTTTTATTTTCTGGTCAATATTACTATTACTACTGTATTTTTTATTTTATTATTATTTTTGTATATTTATTCTTAAAATGTTTATTATTATATTTTTTTTTCTTTCTCTCTCTTAATTTTATTAAATTGTTGTTATTATTTTTGTTATTGTTATTATTATTATAGTTTTTTTTTATTATTATTTTATTAAGTTTTTTTCAGCATATGTTAAGAGTGGGTGTGGGGAGGGTGAATCGGGGTTTGGAAATGGGGAGGAGGGGTTTAAATGTGGTATTTGTATACTTGTACATTTTGTGGTATTATTGTGTGGCCGTAAAACCACAATATAGGAAAAAACCAAACATAAAATAAACTTTGTGTACACAGAAGTTATATAATACAAACATGTATTATATAACTTTTCTAACTTACTGACCTGTAGTTTGACTTTTTCTATGAATATGTAAACAGATTTTACAGCTCAGTTCAGCTTTTGGTGCTTAAAATTCTCCTTTGGGACAAATAAAGTGACACTGATGTACTAGTTGCCGAACCTCCTCCTTGAGATTATGAATAAAATAAATTAGTAAACAAGACTAAAACCAGATTAAACCCGAGGCTTTAGGAAGAAGTCGTCTTGATCTTGTGAGGCGCAGTTTGCAGAGGTTAAATAAAAGCTTGGTGAGTCTGTGCTCAGTGTGAGACTTTTACACGGGGACATGTGCTGCAGCCTCAGGCCTCACACGAGTCTGCTCTGTTTACTCCTCAACTTCACTGTGAAAAATACTACTTTAACACGTACATTTGGAGAGGATAAGAACTGGATTTTCTGATTCATAAGCTCAGAGATGTATTAAAGAGATATTTCCTTCATTTAATATCAATGAAAGTAATTTTCTGTTCAAAATGACTAAAAATATCTAATTACGATCTTTCTGAAAAGCTCTAAGATTATTTTAAACATACTGAGAATAATTGACAAGAAGATTGAAATATGAATTATAAACTAATACAAGAAGCACAATTCAGAACATCAGCTCTAAACTATAGATCACAGGTGTCAAACATACGGCCCGGGGGCCAGATCCAGCCCTCCAAGACCTTTAATCTGGCCCTTGGCTGATTTTCTACTAAAATATTTTTATTATATTTTCTATTAAAATATTGGTAATTTTCAGTATCGCTTAGCACAGCAGCATCTCCAGCGCCTCTGTACGTGGCCCCTCCCACCAGTGCAGCACAAATGAAGACTCGTCTCTTTCCAAACGCTCTTAAAGGACGATCGTTTTGACTGTTGACCGTGACACCCTCATCAACAAAATGTCCAACATGAGAAAAGTGGAGCCGAGTGCAGAATTTTCCAAGAAAAATTGACTTATTCCTATTTGCATACAAGTTAAAGTTAAAACTTTGTGTTGAAATTGGATTTTCTTTAAAGTTTCAGGTTGTTCATAATATTATAAATATTTGTAAAAGAAAGAGTTCATCAATTAAAAAAGATTGCTGTAATAGATTTGCGTTTCTCTGCACAAATATTTAAACTTATTGTTATTTTTGGGGTTTATATGACATGAGTTTTCTGATCCGGCCCCTTTGGGATCAAAGTAGGTTGGATACGGCCCCCGAACCAAAATGAGTCTGACACCCCTGCTATAGAGCCAAAGTCTCAAAAACTCAATAAAATGGGTTGAACTTGACATGGGTTGCCATACTTTTTATTTGTTTCTTTTGTTAACTAAGGACTCATAATTGCCAAAAATATCGCAAAAAGAAAAAAAATTGTTTGTGGCCATTTTAGTGTACGTACCCTTCATTTTTTTATAGAAATTTTCGAAAAATTTAAAATTTCCTGAAATCCTCAGTGGGTTGGGTAAACTGTCAATAAATACATTCCAGATGTGGTGACAACATTCAGTGAAAAAATAATTCTTAAAACACATTTCTACACGATTTTGGCTCAATTTAATGCAAACGAATAAGGCATTTTCCCACTTTTTTCCCCTAATATTTTCATCTTTACCTCACTGGCAATCAACTATTTCCCCAAAGTTTTGACATCAGCCAATATGCCAATCTTTTCACTAATCCCGTAAACTCATTCCACTGAAAAAAATTATACAAATTCAACCAAAATCAATGGATCTGTGATGATTTCATTATTACTTGGCGATCAACAGGCCCAGAACCTCAACAGATTTTCAGGCTCCTCTCAAAATTCCGAAAGTCACACTGGATATTTACCCTTGTTGGTTAAAGTCCACATTGTTAAACATCATGAATCCGTGTATCATTCGTTCATTCGTTTTTCAATATAAAACCAAAAATAAGAAAACAAAAAAAACTATTTTCTTCATTTTTTTCCCCACCAAAACCAAAATGAAAACAACGGATAATGATTAGTTTTTTCAGTTTTTGATTTTGTCTTTAAATGAAGAATGGAAAAAACGGATAACGAGTGTTTCCCGTTGACTTCCGTGACTGCGATGCCGTGACTGAACCAGGACTGATCCAGGTCCGGGACCAGACCGAGACCAGACCGAGACTGAGACCAGACCAGGACCAGAGCGAGACTGAGACCGAGACAAGGCCAGGACCAGACTGGGACCAGACCGGGACCAGACCGGGACCAGACCGAGACTGAGACTGAGACCGAGACCAGGACTGAGACCGAGACCAGGACGGGACCAGACCGGAGGCAGGTCCGGAGCTCGAAGCTGAGGCTCAGACCCCGCGGAGGCTTGGAGTCCGCTCTGGTCCCGCTCTGGTCCCACTCTGGTCCCGCTCTGGTCCCACTCTGGTCCCACTCTGGTCCCACTCTGGTCCCACTCTGGTCCCACTCTGGTCCCACTCTGGTCCCACTCTGGTCCCACTCTGGTCCCACTCTGGTCCCACTCTGGTCCCACTCTGGTCCCGCTCTGGTCCCGCTCTGGTCCCACTCTGGTCCCACTCTGGTCCCCACTCTGGTCCCGCTCTGGTCTCGCTCTGGTGCCGGACCTAAATCAGTCCTGGTTCAGTCCGTATGCAGCGCAAAAGTCCGGCATCGCAGTCACGGAAGTGACGTAAACGGGAAACGGCCGTTATCTGTTTTTTCCATTCTTCATTTAAACACAAAATCAAAAACTGAAAAAACGAATCGTTTTCTGTTTTTTCATTTTGGATTTGGAGACAAATAATGAATAAAACTGTTGTTTTTCCATTTTCTTATTTTTGGTTTTATATTGAAAAACGAATGAATGATATGCGGATTATCATGGTCTAGGCATCTTTTTAATTTGAACATCTGTTCTAGGGTGAGCAGCTTTTATGCAGAATAAAACTGGAGATTTTGTTGTTTGTGGAGGAAATTACTACAAAATTTGCAGCCTTTGTGAGATTCTAATTGAGTCCATTTAAATCATGATCTGGAGTCATTTGTGATTAATCATGCTGCTCTAACTGATCACTGTGTAGTTCTTTTCTCTCTTGTTTGTACCAGACTGTGACACAAACACGTCCTCTCTCCTCCTGTGTCTTACTTGTGAGACAGGTTGTCCTTCTTGAGCAGGTTGAGGTGGAACAGAGACGGGGCGAGGCACACGGCGATGTTCATGGGCGTCATGTGATTCTCCTGCACAGAGGAAGTGACGTCGCTGAGGAAGCAGAGCAGCGTCTGCAGCACCTCGCGGTTCTCGTCCGACATGAGCATGATGGCCGCCTGCACCGCCTGCACGCGCTGCTCTTTGGGCACGTCTGAAAACACAGGAAAGGTTCACATGGACTGTGGATACAGATATGTATAAATAAAAATAAAAAAACAACATTCTGCGACCACTGAACCAGGACTAAACCAGGACTGAACCAGGACTAAACCAGGACTGAACCAGGACTAAACAGGACTAAACCAGGACTAAAACCAGGACTAAACCAGGTGTAAACTAGGACTAAACCAGGACTGAACCAGGACTAAACCAGGTCTAAACCAGGACTGAACCAGATCTAAACCAGGATTAAAACAGGACTAAACCAGGATTTAACCAGGTCTAAACCAAGTCTAAACAAGGACTGAACCAGTACTAAACCAGGACTAAACCAGGTCTAAACTAGGTCTAAACTAGGACTAAACCAGGACTGAACCAGGACTGAACCAGGACTAAACCAGGACTAAACCAGGACTGAACCAGGACTGAACCAGGACTAAAACAGGACTGAACCAGGACTAAACCAGGACTGAACCAGGACTGAACCAGGACTGAACCAGGACTAAAACCAGGACTGAACCAGGACTAAACCAGGACTAAACCAGGACTGAACCAGGACTAAATCAGGACTGAACCAGGACTGAACCAGATCTAAACCAGGATTAAAACAGGACTAAACCAGGATTTAACCAGGACTAAACCAGGACTAAATCAGGACTGAACTAGGACTAAACCAGGTGTAAACTAGGACTAAACCAGGACTGAACCAGGACTAAACCAGGTCTAAACCAGGACTGAACCAGATCTAAACCAGGATTAAAACAGGACTAAACCAGGATTTAACCAGGTCTAAACCAAGTCTAAACAAGGACTGAACCAGTACTAAACCAGGACTAAACCAGGTCTAAACTAGGTCTAAACTAGGACTAAACCAGGACTGAACCTAGCCTAAACCAGGACTAAACCAGGACTGAACCAGGATTAAACCAGGTCTAAACCCACTACACCCCTGGTAGTACTGTATGACATCACAAGGTGGAACAGTGTGTTTTCAGACTGAGAACTCAGAACTCAGCCTAAATATGCAGGATTTTTGTGTTTAAACGTGTGAATGAAACAAAAACCAACTCCCGGTCTGTTCATGATGAGGAAACAACATCATAACACAAATCAGAAAACAGCGTAAAGAGTTCACATGGTCTGGAGATACACCAACGACCAGACTGGTGTCAGCTGAAAGGACTTTAACGGTGCATTGCTTTTTGGTGGTGGGTGGACATGCTTTTCTCCAGATGTTGTTGGTTTGTCTGGAATGTTTCACAGTGTGGCTTTAAACTTTTCTATCATCATGGAGACCAAACCAGACCAAGTTGGAAATGAGCTGGAAAGTCCCCCTGAAGTGTACCTTTTATCAAACTAAGTTAGTTTATCTATATACATATAAAAAAAATAAATAAAAAAAAACTAAACAGGTCTAAACCAGGTCTAAACCAGGACTAAACCAGGACTAAACCAGGACTAAACCAGGACTAAACCAGGTCTAAACCAGGTCTAAACCAGGTCTAAACCAGGACTAAAACTAAACCAGGTCTAAACCACTAAACCAGGACTAAACCAGGACTAAAACCAGGACTAAACCAGGTCTAAACCAGGTCTAAACCAGGACTAAACCTAAACCAGGTCTAAAACCAGGACTAAACCAGGACTAAAACCAGGACTAAACTAGGTCTAAACCAAGTCTAAACCAGGACTGAACCAGGACTAAACCAGGACTAAACCAGGACTAAACTAGGTCTAAACCAAGTCTAAACCAGGACTGAACCAGGACTAAACCAGGACTAAACTAAGTCTAAACCAAGTCTACACCAGGTCTAAACCAGGACAAAACCAGGTCTAAACCAGGTCTAAACCAGGTCTAAACCAGGACTAAACCAGATCTAAACCAGGACTAAACCAGGTCTAAACCAGATCTAAACCAGGTCTAAACCAAGTCTAAACCAGGTCTAAACCAGGACTAAACCAGGACTAAATCAGGTTTTAGACTAAACCAGGTCTAAACCAGGACTAAATCAGGTTTTAGACTAAACCAGGTCTAAACCAGGACTAAACCAGGATTAAACCCGGACTAAACCAGGTCTAAACCAAGGACTAAATCAGGACTAAACCAGGATTAAACCAGGACTAAACCAGGACTAAACCAGGTGTAAACCAGGACTAAATCAGGACTAAACCAGGTGTAAACCAGGACAAAACCAGGTCTAAACCAAGTCTAAACCAGGACTGAACCAGGACTAAACCAGGTCTAAACCAGGACAAAACTAGGTCTAAACCAAGTCTAAACCAGGACTGAACCAGGACTAACCAGGACTAAACTAAGTCTAAACCAAGTCTAAACCATGTCTAAACCAGGACTAAACCAGGAGTCTAAACCAGGTCTAAACCAGATCTAAACCAGGACTAAACCAGATCTAAACCAGACTAAACCAGGTCTAAACCAGGTCTAAACCAGGTCTAAACCAGATCTAAACCAGGACTAAACCAGGTCTAAACCAGATCTAAACCAGGTCTAACCAGACTAAACCAGATCTAAACCAGGACTAAACCAGTCTAAACCAGATCTAAACCAGGACTAAACCAGATCTAAACAGGACTAAACCAGACTAAACCAGGACTAAACCAGGTCTAAACCAGATCTAAACCAGGTCTAAACCAAGTCTAAACCAGGTCTAAACCAGGACAAAATCAGGTTTTAGACTAAACCAGGTCTAAACCAGGACTAAACCAGGATTAAACCCGGACTAAACCAGGTCTAAACCAAGTCTAAACCAGGTCTAAACCAGGACTAAACCAGGACTAAATCAGGTTTTAGACTAAACCAGGTCTAAACCAGGACTAAATCAGGTTTTAGACTAAACCAGGTCTAAACCAGGACTAAACCAGGATTAAACCCGGACTAAACCAGGTCTAAACCAAGACTAAATCAGGACTAAACCAGGATTAAACCAGGACTAAACCAGGACTAAACCAGGTCTAAACCAGGACAAAACCAGGACTAAACTAGGTCTAAACCAAGTCTAAACCAGGACTGAACCAGGACTAAACCAGGTCTAAACCAGGTCTAAACCAGGACTAAACCAGGTCTAAACCAGGACTAAACCAGGTCTAAACCAGGTCTAAACCAGGACTGAACCAGGACTAAACCAGGTCTAAACCAGGTCTAAACCAGGACTAAACCAGGACTAAACCAGGACTAAACCAGGTCTAAACCAGGTCTAAACCAGGACTAAACCAGGTCTAAACCAAGACTAAATCAGGACTGAACCAGGACTAAACCAGGATTAAACCAGGACTGAACCAGGATTAAACCCACTACACCCCTGGTACTACTGTATGAAACAAAACACAACTCCAGGTCTGTTCTTGATGAGGAAACAACATAGATCAGAAAACACCACACTTTACGACATAGCGATTAATATGAGACGTTTGTGGAGCTTAAAGAGCCGGAGAGACATTTGTTCCAGTTCTTGAGTTTCTGGACTCACATTGGTAAATATGCAGGAAGGTCTCCCCGAGCTTGCTGGTGAGCAGAGGTTCGGGCAGGTCTCTGAAGAACTGCTTGACCATATCGGCCACGTCGTAGGCGGACTGCTCCTCGTAGTTCACGTGGTCTGGAGAGCTCTCGTTCAGCTGACGCAGAGCCTGGATCCGAGACTTCACCCCGGATTTACGGAACAGACCCACCTGCGGAAAGGAAACACCCCACAGTCAGTGATAAGGAATATTAATACTTTACAGCTGATGCCATCAACATTCTGTCAGAGTGTGATACTAACTGTAGGCCCTCCTCTGTTTGAGGCTTTTGTTACTCAAATCTGAGCTATTTTAACTAGGGGTGTCAAATTATCGCGTTAATTGCGATTAATTAATTACAGTCATATTTAGCGCGTTATGTTTTTTAATCGCGTTAATCTCATTTTTAATAACACACACACACAAAAAACACATTTATACATTTTTTTATTTCGGTAATTCCACTCATTGCCGGAAACCCACACAAAACGCGCGCAGTAAGAGCGATGTAAACGTCATGTTAACGTTGGCGGCGTCAGTCGCACAATGGACGAGGTCGTAGAGCCAGTAGAACAGAGTCAGCAGTGCACAGGTAAAAACACATTCGTGTCTTGGAAATTATTCTCCCGACGTGAAATATAAAAGAAAATAACAAATATAATATCGCCTACAACTTAAATGTCACTGGTGAAAACAACCTGCATAGACTCATGATGTCTGCACTACTGTGACCTGCCACATGAGGGGACACGCACACAAAACACACACAAAACACACACACACACAAACACACACAAACACACACACACAAACAAACACACACAAACACACACAAACACACACACACAAACATACACAAATACACACACACACACAAACACAAACACACACCTTCATCATCGTCATTAACCTGAGAGAACGCGTGGACCACGTTTCCTTCCGTAGTTACTGCGCGGACACCGACGTGCTCCCGTGAGCCGCGTGTGGATCGTGTTTTCTCGCGTACGCTGCGTAAACCTGCGCTTCCTCCTGTGAGCCTCTAAACCAGAACTAACACCAAGACTAAAACCAGGACTAATCCAGTCCAGGACTAAACCAGGTCTAAACCAGGACTAAACCAGAACTAACACCAGAACTAAAACCAGAACTAAAACCAGGACTAAACCAGAACTAACACCAGGACTAAACTAGGACTAAAGCAGGTCTAAACCAGGACTAAAACAAGGATTAAACCAGTGATCTCATATACACAGCATTTCTCTATCAATAATTTGGATGATTTCAGACCTGGAATTGCCAATCTCTGCTAATCTAAAGGTAAAATGTGGCTTGTAACTTGAAAACTACAGCTTCATGACATCGCAAGGACATTCTAATACGGCAAAATTCGCTCTTCCGATTCTCTTCGGCGACTTTACTCACGTTCCTGAAAATATCGACGTCTTCTAAATACATACCGCTTCGTTTGTGGTCGGCCCTGTGAGCTTTGCGTTCCTTTAAGATGGGCATGCGCACGGTGCTTCTGTTCGGATGCAGCACCACCTCGGGAGCAGGAACGCATTCTCGCTTTCCAGGAACCAGTGCGCAGACAAAGGCACGGAACCCACCAAGGAACCAAGAACCAGGACATGAAGGACGGTGCCTCTGGACCCATTTGACCAACGCGCTAGAAGGACGGCAGAAGACCAAGGACCAGACCTCCAGTCACGTCTTGAGGGGCTGCGAGTTTCGGCGAATGCTCCAGTGTCTTTGGTGCTGCTGGCTGCTGCTGTTACCCAAACTTAGTGCTTCTGCTCCTGCTTCTGTGCGGTGAGTTGCGTAAGTTCTACATGCTGCTGTTTTATGAGTTCATGGTGATAACTTGAGATGAGGACGGCCCACGGTTTTTACGAGTAACACAGATACCTTTCGCAATTGGAGGAACATCGGGAACATCGGGCTGATCATGTCCGGGTCCGTATGGGATGGCGTCTGGACTATTTTTATTTTATTTTTTTAGGCTTTTTAGGGGGTGTGATGGGTTAATTGGGAGGGAACACCCGTATTTCGCACACTGGATGCCATAAATCTGGGAATTTATGACCCAACCACAGACAAGACATGTAACTAGAATGCAACTACCGTCATCGGGACCGTCAATATGGCGACCAAAACAAAAATGGTCACGTGACTGCAGGTTCTCTATACCTCCACTTAAATACACAAATGTACTTTTACTAAACCACATTGTTCCAGTATTCTGACCTGGTCGAGGCACTGGCTCCTCAGGTAGCGCAGGGCCTGCTGCAGACCCAGAGGGAGGGGCTGTCCTGACCGCTGCACGTGGACAATGAGGGGGACTCCAAACACGTTCTTGTCCTTATAGTCCGGGACCTTCATTCTCTTCATGAACTTGGGGACAGCCCTGCAGAGACACACACAGTTACACATTTATTATGAAGTACTGGTGGTTTAAAGTTTCGAGAATGTGAAGATGTCAGACTCATGGGCATGGACCAGATTTCACCACAGAATTTGGTAGGATTCTGTAAAATTACACAATATTTTGACCTAGTACATTTCTCTAATTACTGGGCTTATCCAAATGAAACAAAAACTGACACCAAAGTCTGCCAAAGAGGTTAAATATTTGTATATAGTAGTGTTAAAAAGTCGAAGCGTTACTGAGTGTGATAGGTGTCAGTTTAAGGCAACCAACAATTATTTTAATGGTCAACTATCGTAGTTTATTATCCCGGTTATAATTATTAAAGCAGAACATTTTTAAAAAAAAAAAAACAAAAACAAGAAGACGGCAAAAGTGGCGTCACGTCTTCACTTCACTTTTTATTCCGCGTTTAGACGAACATTTTCAAGGGCGTCTTTGAACATACGGAAGTTTTTACGCCATGCATTTTCATCAGCTCCTCCTTCCATAAAGTTGTCCCACCATCGACTGGTTCTCCACGTCTCGTCCAGATCCTTCTGACTCGCCTGCGACGAACTGGTGCATCCAGAGTTTGACAGAGGTGATTGCAAATCCTTCTCTGTTCACTAATAGTATCTCTGCAGATTTTCTACATTGGTTTTGATGCCTCCTGTAAGTTTATTAGCGCTGCCAGAGCAACTTGAAGGTCCGACGCAAGGAAACGATCCGATATGTTTGTTTTTGTGTATTGTATGTATGTGACGTAAGCGTGTACGCGATGTGAGCACGTCTTTGCGTCTTGGGCAGTGTAGATGGAAACGCTATGATGGAGTGTATTCAGCTTTTCCACTCTGGAGGGTGGTTTCAGATTTTTTGCATTTTTAAGCCCCAAAAACGGCGACACTGTATAAACGAAAGGCACTTCCGATAAAATATTTTGTTGCTTTTATCTGCAAGCGTTCTCTTGTAAACAGACCCTCAGACCCATTTAAGATAAGATAAGATAAGATAAGATAATCTTTTATTGTCTCCCATGGGAGAAATTTGTCTTGGGACAGGGGGTAACATGTTTTATCAAAAAACAGGACAACACAACACAAAGCAGCACATAAACAAACACCATAAAACAAAGTAATATGAGACCAAGTCTGACCACGAGTGATGCACCACACCAACAGGACCCTTAAATTATCCTTAACAGGCAAACCCTTGCATTCTTCTGTTCTATTAATTATTGCACATTCCCTAAGCCTATGTGCAGTTTTAGTTTATAATTATTGCACATTCCCTAAAGCCTATGTGCAGTTTTAGTTATAATTATTGCACATCCCTAAGCCTATGTGCAGTTTTAGTTATAATTAATTATTGCACATTCCCTTAGCCTATGTGCAGTTTTAGTTATAATTATTGCACATTCCCTTAGCCTATGTGCAGTTTTGATTGCACAATCCCTAAGCCTTTTTATAATTATTTTTTAACTGCACTATCTGAGTTTAGCAGTTTAACAGCTAGTGGCACAAAAGAATGTTTGAATCTGTTCAGTTTACAGTTTGGGACCCTGAACCTTCTGCCTGATGGCATCAACTCAAACTGACTGTGAAGAACATGGGTTGGGTCATTGATCACCTTCCTGCTGAGCTTCCTAACAGTCTCCTCAAACACAGCCAATCAGTAGAAAAAAGTGATTTTGGTGTTTAGTGGCCCTTTAAGGTAGTCAACAAATATTTACAATTACTCCAATTCACTTTTGCTGCTCTACTGATGATGTTTATTCAGCATTTGTGTCACATATCAACCTGTTTTGTATCTGGGACTAAAACATCCAATCATACAGACTCATGAACACAGCCTTCCTCTTGTGAATGCGTGAGGAGAGGAGCGTACCAGGTCCATCCGTGCTTGTTGGACAGTGAGTACTTCTCCATGATGGCTGTGAGTCGGAGCAGAGAGAACTTCTGCAGGAGGCTGAGCTGGGCCGCAGACTGGTTATTGATCTGCAGAGAGGCGGTGCAGCGGCTCAGGCGGTTGGAGATCTGGAAACTGGGCCAACGTAACCTAATACAAACACAATAAAAGCATAAAATTAGAATGTTGTAGTTACAGAAAACGCCTGTGACAAGAACAAATTATGAAGCACAATATGTTGCTAATGAGAAATATACAAGATAAACGATAATGTTAAAATTACTTTTTGACACTGACATAATAGAAATAAAGCAACATAATCCCAGTGAACCATTATTAAATCTACAGTATTATTACTTATTTGTTGCGGCCTTGGCACAGGGTCTTAACACATTAAATAAATACACATTTGTGTTCAAATATACTTAAATTGTCTTTAATGTGAAAATATTTGGTGTATTTATTCATACTGTACACACTAGTAACTTTTCTGTCAAACTGTTTAACTGTGTAAGTGTTGCCTCACGATTCTGATCAGCACTAAATAGGAAATCCAAAGCTCTTCTGTATCATTTCAAACAAACTCTATGACGACTCGACCTTGGTGAAGTGTTTTTCTTATAATGGATGGAAGTCTGGGGAAAATCAAGCAAGTAATAATCATGTAAGTTTCTGCCTTTTGCCTTTGCACGACTCCTTTTTTGACATTTTTGACTCATGTTACAAAGGCAGAATACAGAAACTGACAAAAAAAGGGTCAAATATTTCTTCATTGTAGCAACTAGTTGTCAAATTTTGGGAGCCCGACCTATTATACTTTTGTCTGGACAAAGCAGAAACTTCGAAGTCATTTCTCTCTGGAGAGTTAAGGTCTTTTGTCTTTGTAGGGCAGTATTGTCCATCCAAAACTGTAAACGACATTCATTTCGAAACATCTTTACTCACCTGTTTGGCCTCGTGAGGGACGCCCCCACCCCAGAGTCCCTCCGCTCCCTCAGCCTGGTCAACTCCGTCTCAGCCAGCGACACTCTATCCCTGTCTCCTTCTCTGTCCCCGTCCCTGTCTCCGTCACTCGGCGTAGTCTGGCTCTCCGTCACCGACTGTCCCTCGAAGTCCAGCGTGATCTGACTGGACGCTTGCAGATTCTCTCCTCTTAACTCTCCGTCCTCTTCGTCCAACCTCGCTCCTCCTCCGCTTCCTGGTAACACGTTCTTCGACCAATGATCAACTATCTGCTGGAGACCGTTCACGTGAAGCAAAATATCGTCCAAGTGGGGGAATAAGTCCTCTTTTTCCAAGTCCATCAAGTCCCCCGTGCTGGCGTACAAATGCGAACCGGGTACGTTGTCGTAGATGCTTATCCTGCTGCCCCTCCTCGAGCAGCATTGCGTAACAGGTCTGGACTCCCTTCGGAAAGCTATGAGTTCGGGATCGAGGTGCACGCCGGCGGGGTGCCAGTTGATGGGCGCAGCAGTGGTTGGCGATAAACTTTCGATCGAGAGCGCTTTGGGGAAGGTGCCTGGCTTGTGGTCCTCGGGTATGTGCACGACCAAATCTTCGTACGAGCAAAATTCGTTCTTCCGATTCTCTTCAGCGACTTTACTCCCGTTCCTGAAAATATCGACGTCTTCCAAATACATCCCGCTTCGTTTGTGGTCGGCCCTGTGAGCTTTGCGTTCCTTTAAGCTCGGCGTGCTCACGGTGCTGTCGCTCGAATGGTTGCCGTCGCTGCCAGATTGAGACGAAGCAAGGTTTTTCGTCGGTACGCTACTTCCGTTGTGCCCATTTACGATGTCGACGCAGTGCAAAGTTTTCAGAGCGTGAGCTTCTTGCGTCAGCACTGGAGCGCTGATTACCAAGTTTTTGCGACTGCCACGTACAGCCCCTCGATGTTGCAGTTTTTCCATGCGTCGGAGAAAGTCTTTCGCCCGATTCGCCTTGCTGTGGTTGTCATAGTGATTAGGAATATTAGTGATTGTGAAAGAAGACTGATCAGGCATGGCGGGAGAGTCCAAGTCTTCCGTGCTTCGTCCTTTCTGCACACTGCCGCCGCTGCTCTCGCTGTGGAGGGAGGAGATTTCGGGTTCGCTCAGGTCGGTCAGCACGCTCTCGCTGCTGGTGGTGGTGCGTAGCGGCGTGTGCTCCTCGCAGTGGCGGGGTCCAGGGTCAGGGGGGTGTCCCAGCAGACAGCCGATGTCCTGCAAACGGGACCATCTCCGGCTGGTCCACTCGAAAGTCCATCGGTCACTGATGGCGAAGACGTCGTCCTCGTCGGAGTCTTCGCTCTAAGGGGAAACAAAGAGGACAGGTGAGGACAGGTGAGAGAATTTATGTCTGCTGCAAATCAACAAAGAACAAAAATAACAAAGAGATAGACCGACCGGGCCGAAATGTGGCTATGGACCTTAACTTCCCTGCATAGGCCTGCATAAAGCTCTAATAACTCTAATAATACTTTAATAGTGTAGTGTGACAAGGGCATTGCACAAAATTAGACTACTTTGAATCTTTACAGGTTAGTGGTAAAATCGGGCTGTAAACGGTCACATTTTTATACAGCGCTTTTCCACCTTCAAGGCACTCAAAGCGCTTTACAACAAGGAACCACTCACCCATTCACACACATTCATACACAGTGTTGGGAAGGTGACTTTTAAAATGTTTTCCCCTACAGATTACAGATTACATACCCCAAAATGTAGTTTGTAACGTAATCCATTACATTACTTAAGGTGAGTAACGTAATCTGAATACTTTGGATTACTTGATTTGCCGTAGAGAAGCAAAGACTCGGATATTATAAGATAAGATATTTTGGCTGCTAAAAGAAATAAAAAGCCCAGACTTGACTTAACCGTATTAAAAATATTATTGATAGAAGAGGAGAAGGAGACACGTTCGCCCAGCATGACTTAGTCCTGTTTTAGTCCTGGTTTAGTCCTGGTTTTAGACCTGGGTTTAGACCTGGTTTTAGTCCTGGTTTTAGACCTGGTTTAGACCTGGTTTAGATCTGGTTTAGACCTGTTTTTTTTCCAGGAATGAGTGGAATTACCAGGAAAAAAAAAAAAAAAAAATATGTATATAGCCCAAAATGTAAAAACAGGAAAATACCACTGTGTAATCCATTCATTTCAACAAAGTAACTGTAATCCAATTACCACTCACTGAAACAGTAACTGTAACTGAATACAGTTACTCATAATTTGTACTCTGATTACGTAACTCCGGCACATGTAATCTGTTACTCCCCAACACTGTTCATACATCAGTGTACGCAGGAACTGGGGGCAAGGTAAGTTAAGTGTCTTGCACAAGGACACAACATATGTGGGAGCTGGAATCGCACCGCCAAACTGTGGGTCACTGGATTTGACCACTCAACCAATATCCCAACATTTATGTCAAGAGCGGAATTTGAACGGCCAACCTTCGGATCAGTGGATAAACGGTTTAACCAACTGAGCTACTGTCGCCCCTAAATTATTTGAATGTCTACAAATAATTTTTCTCAAAATTTTCTGTACTTGTATTATGCAGAGCAGTATAAGACACTTTACACTGCAGTATTCACTTACTGGTGGCAGTAAACTACCACTATAGCCACAGCTGACCTGGGGTAAATGGTGGGTGAAGTGTCTTGCCTAAAGACACAACAACAACAGTTTCCACTAGAACCCATTGTTCCACTGTGGCACCTGATATTTCCAGCGGTCTATCATCCAAGTACAAATCAGACCGGCTTTTTTTAGCTTCCGAGATCTGGGATTTAAAGCAGGTATGGTCCATGGCAGAGCTGGGCATTGTACAGCTCTCAGGACACTTACGGCCCTTTAGTTAGTTTGTTTGTTTGTTTGTTTTTATTTAGATCCCCAATAGCAACTGAAAAACAGCAACTATTCCTCCTGGGGTCGGCGACAGGCTATAAATGCTTTTTTATTATTATTTTTTGTTCCTACAGAAAACAGACAGGATGTACATGCACCACATTGCACGAATGTTTTTACACTCCATGATTCTGTCTCATATAGAGTGTTGCATAACCACATGGTCACTCGCTGCTGGTGCAACACTCAAACCCATCGAATTAGTTTTTTATAAAGCCGTAAAAATATTGGACAAGAAACCATTCTCATTTCACCACTGCACTATTTTAGAGAAGTACAATCTGCTTAATTTTAATAATTTTGTTGATTTTAAATATGGATGTTTTATCTATAAAGTTTTGCATGGACTTGCCCCCCTTCTGTTACAGGATTTTATTAAAACAAAGACCGTCAGTGGGATGGGAACTAGGGCCACAGTCCGGGGGAACTGTGAACACACAGACACACTACATTTGGACAAAGTGTGTCTCAGTTAGAGGCACAACATTTTGGAACATCCTTTACTATTAATAAGAGAAACTCCAACATTTGCCACTTTAAAAGGAAAACCAGACTTGTGGACACTTTTCATTTAGAACTGTCACTTGTTTTTGTTTTTTCTATTAAATTTGTGGTGTCACCTGACGAGGGATTACAGATGGAAATGAGTGTTCTTGCTATAATCTGTCATATTTACTCTGCAGTGTTATGAATGTTCATTAATATGCACTGTCCCTATTAAATCAATAAATAAATTCACACCAACAATAAAAAAATAACAAAAAAATACAAATAATCATGATAATAAAATTAAAAATAATAATACTTTGACTCTGACTGGCCCGTTTAAGCTACTTTGGAATTACAAACTAAACATATTTTTATATATCATTTTACCTCATGCATGGACTAAAGCTGCATTGCTTTTATTTTAGAGGTGTTTTAATTAAACATTTTTGCAAGGTATCCTCACTCTTTCATTGCTTAGTCGTAACATTTACTCTTACCAGCTTGTTAAAATTGTGATTTGATTTGTTTTTATTGTGATTTTAATGTATTTCTTATTCTGTAAAGCACTTTGAATTACTTTGTGTACGAATTGTGATATACAAATAAACTTGCCTTGCCTAAAACACTACTATTTACTGCTTTTTTTTTTTTTTTTTAAATAAAGAAATACAATTAATATTATGCAGAATTGAGTTAAGCATTTTGGACCGGCCCTCCACAATATTTTCTCTTTCTTATGTGGCTCCATGGAAAAAAATAACTATGGTCTTAGCAAGGTTGTTTAACTAATTTGCACTTTGTATAGAGCAACACTATTTTTTAGTTTTTTTTTTGGAATGTAATGAGCCAGTGTGACATAATAATCCGTGTGCACAGGATGTCCCAGAGGCAGATCCTCTGTCACACTGACACAGGAAGGACGCCTAAGTATGTCCGTCAGGAAACAGCTGTACCAATTAGACTTCATTAACAACAATGTGCAGAGATCGTGATGCAATTTGACCCACATAATCCTCTTAGCTCACGTCTCTATAAATAGCGTAACTGCCATTTATCCATATCAGGAATGTTTAGACTTTGACTATCTCAAATATCACCGTTTCTGGGCCGTTAAGTAGAAGTATGCAGGCGTGGTAAAGCGGCCAAAAGTGTTGTGCAAGTAAAAGTAACTGAAGATGGACAAGTCTGTAATGTAAAAACTCACTGTGATAAAGTAAAAAGCGGTCTCATGTAACCATTAAAGGACTTTTATTCTAATTCCAACAGATTTTTTGACCACTTCTTACTTTATCAGAGTAAGTTTTTACATTACAAGCTTGGTCATCTTCACTATCTGTTTTTTTTTTTTTTTTTGATCCTCGTCCTTGAGGAGAAAAATACCCTGAACCTCTCACTTTCTTTGTGTTTTTATAAAAGTAACATTACTAAAATAATATTACTCAAGTGGAAGTACAAAGTAGTGGTCCAAGAATGACTCAAGTACCGTATTTTTCGGACTATAACACGCACTTTTTTTCTTTGGGTGTTTCCTGCGATTTATATATTAAAATGTTCACACTGACAGCCGTTAGAGGGCGCTCCAGTCTTGTGTGTCAGTATCTGATGCTCCTGTTCCTCCTGTACTACTGATGCTTCACTCTCCTGCGCATGTCTCCTGCAGAAAGAGCTGCTGTCCTGCTGCAAGTAGTGAAATATTCAGCCGAAAACAGCAATCGAGCAGCAGAAAAAAAATTTGGGAGTGAGCAAGAAACGGGGATGGAGAGAACAGAGCTTCCTGTGCAATGCAACTTTCCTGGAAGTCACTGGATGAATCGACAAAGCCTGGACTTCAGTGACACCAAAACCATCCTGTCGGGATTCAGAAAGTCCGGAATAATTCTAACTGGAGCTGATGCTGAGTCTGACGACAGCTACACAGAAGAGGAAGCGGCGCTCTGTTTACCTCTGGAGGTCGCGGAGTTGCTCAGCAGTGACACCGAGGATGAAGAATTAAATGGATTTAGTGATTTGGAGTGAGATGGAGAGTTTGGTAAACTTGTTCTGTTCTGTTGTTTATGTTATAGTTTATCTGAAGAACTGTTCATATGTGACGTTAACAGTCTGTTGTTCTCTCTTCTATTGTTATTACTAGAACTTGACTTTCAAGTCTCTGATTTTATAAAATAAATTTCCCCCAAAAAGTGCAGCTTATATATGTCTTTTTTCTTCTTCATTAAGCATTTTTTGGCTGGTGTGACTTATACTCCGGAGTGATTTATAGTCCAAAAAATACGGTAAAAGTACTGGTAATTGAGAACTACTCAAGTAAGAGCAACTTAAAGAGCAATAGATGGGAAGTAACATCTGATTTATAATTTAAAGTTAGTGTAATTGTAAGGACAAAACTGTAAATAATGCAAAAAATCTGGTATTTTCAAACAATAGAAACACATTTTTAAAGAAGACATGCAAGAAACACAAAAGTTCAAATAATTTCATATTGTCAACATTAATTTTTTGGTCACTTACTCAGAGTAGAAAGAGGAACCACAACTTTTACTTGTACTAGTACGTCAATAAAATGTACACAAGTAGGAGTAAAAAAATACTACCTCTGCAGTTATGACCGCAGGCAATTTATGTACAATGAAATACAAACAAAATATCACTTTACTTCATAACAGCAATGTATCTGGGTAATCCATACTGTCAAAAGTATTCCACTTACTTTCTTCTTTGGCAGGTTGACATCGAGTTTCATGGAGGCACACTTGTTTAGCGTGTTGAGTCGCCTGGAACAATGAAACACAAAGAGCTCGTGTTATCTAATCTGGTTTGACATGTACAAATAGACTGCAGGGGCACATGGGAAACTCGGTTAACCCGCGCTGATGCATCGTAATTGGGATAAAGAGCGGTAATGCTGCGGCTCTGGACTGGAGTCTGGCTCGTTACGGAGGTCTGCCGGTCGTGTGTCTTGGCGTTAGCTCCAGCGGTGATGAAGTACTCAATGTGGTTACTCAAAGATGCATTGTGTAACTTTTCTGAAGGAGAGTCTTGCTTTTCTCCGTGGAGATGTTATTGCTTTGTCCGGACTGTTTCGTAGTATGGCATGATACCAGGGGTGGGCAAACTTTTTGACTCGTGGGCTCTAAAATTTGACGAAAGGGCCGGACCAAGGGAATTTTTGAATATTTTTTTAAATTTTTTGGTAATCCACCCCATAAGAGAAGAAAATAACATCGGATCCTGAAATATCCCATAATTGAAAAGCATTACAAAGCATTACAACAAAATATCTGTCTTTCAAGTCTTTCAAGTATTTACTGAAATTACTTTTAAATCGCTGAAAATTATTATTATTATTCAAGTTCTGCGGGTTGGATTAAAAGGGCCGCATATAGCCCCCCGGCCGTAGTTTGCCCACCCCTGTATTATACCGTCGATCTTCATTGATTCAGTTTTTAAGTATCTGAACTTCACTTAACTACTTTACTCTACTTTACGTATTTGATGCTTTAATTTTCTAAAAATTTCTGCAAAATACTTTTACTTTTTACTCTTAAAGGTTGTACAGAGGATTTTTTAAGGGAAGAGAAATACAGCGACAGGCCTTTTACAAATGTTGTGCACGCATGACGCCACCTTCCTCCTCCACACCCCAGTAGAAACACCTCCTCCCGCTTCCTAACTCTAGAAATCACATTTGTTTACAGCCAGTGTTGAAGTGGCCTGTCTAGAAATAATTTAGTGACCGACACGTGAGTATTTAGACCCTTCGTCGACTTCAGTCGTGCAATCGCTGGAAGGAATCTCCAAGAATCACCTCAGTTTGGCTTCGCTCCCCTCCTCTTCTTCTTTCAGCGACCTCAAAAACAGACTGTCTTTTGCAGCGAACTGGTCGTGGAGTCTCGTCCACCATCGCAACAAACTTTGTGCGAATTGCGAGGAAGCTGCAGTTTGAAAAAGCCTCTAAGAACCGCTGCATAAACCACGTAAACCCTGCATGCCGGCGAGTCAGTTACACTAGAAACATAACGGAGTTTGATTGACAAACTAACAGCCAATAGATAAAGAGGGAGCCTCGTTATCTATTGGCTGATGTTTATCTGGCCCCACCATGTCCACAGTTGATAGATTTTCATTATTTTTGTTTTAGTCATCATAATTACAAAGCTACTGCATCTCTGTAATGGTATTTTAAACTTTCATTGACAATTTGAAACCAAAAACAAAAAAATCCTCCATACAACCTTTAAACTATTAAGTATTGATATATCGCCAAGAGTATTTTTTTGGAATATTTTATTCAATTATTTTGTTACAGAGCTACTGTTTTGTTGCTTGTTTAGTGGAAGGAAACTTGTTTATGTAACATATTTGACATTTTCACAGTTTTGATGATTAAAATGTTTGTGTTTCATATGAAAAAAAAAAAAGGTTTAAAAAAGACTTTTACTATCACAGCCACGATTTAGCCTTTATTTTTTCTGAACCGTATCGAATCGATTTGAAATATATCATATCGAATCTAAAGTGCACTGTATCGAGATATGTATCGTATCGGCAACTTCTTAATGATTCCGAGCTTTATTTAAGAGTAAAAAGTAAAAGTATTTTGCATAGGTTTTTAGAAAATTAAAGCATCAAATAAGTAAAGTAAAGTAAAGTACAGATACTTAAAAAACAAATGAACCAAAAACACAAATGTACCTTTAAGTAAACTACAGATACTTTTACTTTGTTACATTGCACTACCTTATCTTTAAATATTTATTCATTTTTAGCACAACTCAGCGAAAAAATCCATAGATCCATAACTGAACAGGAAGTAGTGACACCAACAGTGCGGTAGTCGAGCGTTTTGTGCCCTCAGCCAATCGTAAAAATATATTTACACCTCATCTGAAACGCACCAACAATGATTGACTCCCACTGCCCACGCACGACAATACAGGCTCGAGAGTTGAAAGCGCTCGCTCCACAAACACAGAGCTATTTTAGATTGTGTGATTACAGAGCAGCTCGTGACTGCAGCTGTTTCTCCGCTTGACTCCATTGTGTCGTTACGAGACACTGGTTAGCACTGGGTTAGCAAAAAGGTTAGCAAAACAAGTTCCCATGATTGTCCCGGGGAGATAAAGACGCTACAGAGCTTCTGAAGGCTAAAATAAAACTCTGCTAATTGAAGAATCTGTGTGAACTCTTGTTTTATGATCTGACTGTTCCACACTGCGAAAAAAAGAAATGTCTAACAATTTTGTGCTTTACATCGCTTCATGAAAAATGTGCCTTTTTAAATCTGACTGTTTTAAAATTATTTCCATCTGGTATCAACATATTTTTTTGTTTATTATATTTTTCGGGCTGTAAGTCGCACTTTTTTTCATGGTTTGGGCGTTTCCTGTGACTTATACTCCGGTGCGACTTATATATTAAAATTTTCAGACTGACAGCGGGGAGAGGCTCTAGTCTTGTCTGTCAGTATCTAGTACAATCTAGTATTTCTCCTGTACCACTGTCACTTCACTCTACTGCGCATGTCTCCTGCAGAGAAAGCCGCTGTCCTGCTGCAAATAGTGAAATATGGAGCAGAAAATGGTAATCGAGCAGCAGAAAGAAAGTTTGGAGTGAGCGAGAAACTTGTGAGGGACTGACGGAAAACGGGGATGGAGAACACAGCTTCACGGGCGACTGGGAGGATGCACCATGTAACTTTCCTGAAGTCACTGGATGAATCGACAAAGCCTGAACTTCAGTGACACCGAAACCATCTTGTCGGGATTCAGAAAGGCCGGAATAATTCTAACTGGAACTGATGCTGAGTCTGACGACAGCGACACAGAAGAGGAAGCGGCGATTTATTTACGTCATGAATCTGTGGTTTATCTCCGGAGGTCACGCAGAAGTGACACTGAGGATGAAGAATTCAGTGGATTTAATGATTCGGAGTGAGATGGAGAGTTTAGTAAACTTATGTTCTGTTAATTCGACATTTTTGACATTGCGCCTTATAATCTGATGCACTTTATAGTCCGAAAAATACATGAAGTTGTAATATGAAACTTTTTGAGAGAGGGAATGACACTTTCATTATTGTTTTGACTTTAAAGGTCCTGTATTACAGAAGATTGACTCTTGTTGTTCTTGTTTCATTCACACATGTTTGAGTAACTCTTTATTATTAGTCTGTTTACATCTCCAAAGCTCAAAATGCATTCATCTGTTCAGTCCTGTGTGATGTCACATAGTACTTGGAATTGGAGGCACCACGTTTTGGCAAATCTTCCTAGTTCACACTTAAATTGGCACATTAAAGGACCAGGAAGAGTAGACGATGTCATTAAAGCACAATATACAGTAGCAAAAGCAGCAAAAAAGAGCTTATTTAGTGTTTAGTTTCACTTTAAAGGTGCATTGTGTAACTTTTCTGGTGGAAGGTCTGTCAAATTTTTTTATTCGTTATTGCTTTGTCTGGAAAGTTTCACGGTATTAAACCTTTTTATCTTCACTGAGACCAAACCAGACCAGTTTTTAAAGGTATTTTTGAGCAATAAAACCACCTGTAATTGAATAAATGTAAGGTAGAGCTGTTTAATGTCACACTGTGGAACATTCCAGGCCATAGAAACAAGCATTTGATGGATTTCCAACAACGAAAAGTTACGTAGTTCGCTTTTAACTATTAATACTATTCAGTACTACTCTTGTTTTTGAAAAGTACAGACACACACTGTTCAGAAGTGGGGCTCCTCTGTGCTGGCGTAACGGACAGTAAAGGGCTTCGTTGCGTTTCCACGGCGACGTTGGAAAGTCACAGGGAGGTGGAAGTGTTTCTAATGGAGCACTATTTCTGCCGGGACACGTCGGAATGCAGATTCAGGCTTCGGGGCACTACATTGTAAAGCACTATAGAGGCACCAGACGTGTTCATTATGTAAGACTGTCACTGTGGAGGTTTGCTTGTTCTCCCTGCGTCTGGGCGCTTTCCCTCCAGCTGCTCCTGTTTCCCAATAGGCTTAACCTTCAGCTAGGTACTCCTCACCCTGATTTCAAGTTGTGGAGATGCCCTCTGCCACGTGGGCACGGGAAAAGACGGCCAAATAGAGAGGAATTACCTGCACAGAGGTTCTACCAGGTCTTTATCCAGAAAGTCATGGTCCTTCTTCACCGGCCTGATGTCGATGGGGAACTGGGAATCTGGAAATACAAGAGGAGAAGAATCCATGTATCATTCCTTCATTTGTTTTTCAAAAAAAACCAAAACGTTTTCTTCATTATTTGTCTCCAAAACCAAAATGAAAAAACAGATAACGATAAGTTTTTTAAATTTTCGGCCGTTTCCCGTTTCCGTGACTTAAACTGCATATGGATCAAACGGACTGATGTGGTTATGGTTTTTATTTTGTAAAGTTGAGTTTATGTATGTGTGTGTGTAACTTGTACAATGTTTGGAGACGTTGGGTTTGATCTGTGCAGTGGATGTGAGCTCCTCAACGCTGGTGAGAACCTCCCGAGTTTCCTCTGCTAAAGGAGCTCAACCAGGACACTCCATGTGATCATGTCACAGGGACATGAGTGTCCCGGTTTCTCAGCGCGGATGTAAACACAGTATCCTGAATACTGACACAACAGTTATGGATAATAACTGGAATACTGATGTGCACAGGCCCGGCGTCTCATGTCGGTAGATGAGGCGCTCGCCCAAGACGCCACGTGTGTCTGAGGCGCCATCTAGTTGTGGCCGTCATCAACTGGAATTTCCACTGACCGAAATGTATGATAGAATAACAAACTGTACGAGCTCATTAAAAACACTTCAATTCATGTTGTAATGCTCCAGACTGAACCAGGACTAAACCAGGTCCGGGACCAGACTGGAACCAGACCGGGACTGAGACCAGGACCAGACCAGGACCAGACCGTGGTTGAGACCGGGACTGAGACCGGACCAGACCGGGACTGAGACTGTACCAAACTGGGACCAGACAAGGGCTGAGACCAGGACCAGACCAGGACCAGACCGAGATCAGACCGGAACCAGATCGTGATTGAGACCAGGACTGAGACTGGACCAAACTGGGACCAGACTGGGACTGAGACTGAGACCAGACCAGGACTGAGACCAGGACTGAGACCAGGACCAGACCAGGACCAGACCGTGGTTGAGACCGGGACTGAGACTGTACTAAACTGGGACCAGACAAGGGCTGAGATCAGGACGAGACCAGGACCAGACCGAGATCAGACTGGGACCAGACTGGGACTGAGACCGAGACCTGACCGGAACCAGATCGTGATTGACACCAGGAAAGAGACTGGACCAAACTGGGACCAGACTGGGACCGAGACTGAGACCAGACCAGGACTGAGACCAGGACCTAGACCTGGACCAGACCGTGATTGAGACCGGGACTGAGACCGGACCAGACTGGAACTGATACCAGGACTGAGGCCGGGACCCGACCAGGACCAAATCATGATTGAGACCAGGACTGAGACTGGACCAAACTGGGACCAGACTGGTACTGAGACCGAGACCAGACCAGGAGCAGACCAAGACCAGACCGGGACTCAGACCGGGACCGAGACTGGAACTGAGACCGGGACCAGACCAGGACTGAGACCGAGACCAGACTGGGACTGAGACTGGGATTGAGACCAGGACTGAGACTGGGACCAGACCAGGACTGAAAACGATTCAGTTCAGTTCAATTCTACAAATCGTTATCTGTTTTTTCACTTTGGTTTTAGAGACAAATAGTCAAGAAAATTGTTGTTTTTTCGATTTCTTATTTTTGGTTTTATTTTGAAAAACTAATGAACGAATGACACACGGATTTACAAGTCCCTTTTTCAGAAAACCCTGGACAAAAGTGAAACCGGAGACGTCTCAAACCACAGCGCTCTCGTATCACGCCCATAAACTTGTTTGCGACTAATTCAAAGAGACGGATCGCAGTATTCCGCGGTGGCCTCCTCTTACGTAACTCCTGAGAGCATTTCCAGAAACGCTCCGACATTCCACCGCGCTCATGAGAAGTCGTAATGTTTTTATGAAAAGCATCGGAACGCGCGGACACAAAACCCGGACTGTTCCCTCACCCATGGGCTCCCGGGGCTCGGTTCGTCCCGAGAATAGAATGCATCGTCTGTGACATTTGTGATTCACGACCGCCCGGGAAAAAACAGATTCCAGAATTTCCCGCAGAATCCCTCTTTTGTCTCGGCTGCACAGAGGGTTAGAGAGAGGACTGGACGGGCTTCAGACGGAGAAGATGACAGAGAGACGAGAGGCGACAGTCGAGTTGTTATGTAAAAGTGTAAAAAAAAAAAGAAAAATGGAAAAGATACTCGAGGAAAAAAAATACTTGAATAAAAATAAAAATATCACCAGAATTTGTGTATCATTCGTTCATTTATTTTTCAAAATAAAACCAAAAATCTAATATTTTCTTCATTATTTTGTCTCCAAAACCAAAATGAAAAAACGGAACTGAACCAGGACTGAACTAAGACTGAACCAGGACTGAATCAGGTCTAAACCAGGACTAAACCAAGACTGAACGAAGACTGAACCAGGACTGAACCAGGACTGAACCACGACTGAACCAGGACTGAACCAGGACTGAACCAGGACTAAATCAGATTTGAACAAAGACTAAACCAGGACTGAACCGGGACTAAACCAGGACTGAACCACGACTGAACCAGGACTAAACCAGGACTGAACCAGGACTAAACCAGGACTGAACCAGGACTAAACCAGGACTGAACCAGGACTAAACCAGGACTGAACCAGGACTAAACCAGGACTAAACCAGGACTAAACCAGGTCCCAGTCTCAGTCCCGGTCTGGTCCCGTTCTCAGTCCTGGTCTCCGTCTGGTCTGGGCTGGTCTGGTCCTGGTCTCAGTCCCAGTCTGGTCCAGATCTCAGTCCTGGTCTCAGTCCTGGTCTCCGTCCTGGTTGGGCCTGGTCTGGTCCTGGTCTCAGTCCCAGTCTGGTCCAGATCTCTGGTCTCAGTCCCAGTCTGTGCGGTCTCAGTCTGGTCTCAGTCCTGGTCTCATTCCTGGTCTCAGTCCTGGTGTCCTGGTCTGGTTGGTCTCAGTCAGTCTGTCCAGTCTCAGTCCTGGTCTCTGGTCTGGCCAGTCTGGTCCAGATCTCAGTCCTGGTCTCAGTCCCAGTCTGGTGCAGATCTCAGTCCTGGTCTCAGTCCTGGTCTCAGTCCTGGTCTCATTCCTGGTCTCAGTCCTGGTCTCCGTCCTGGTCTGGGCCTGGTCTGGTCCTGGTCTCAGTCCCAGTCTGGTCCAGATCTCAGTCCTGGTCTCCGTCCTGGTCTGGGCCTGGTCTGGTCCTGGTCTCAGTCCCAGTCTGGTCCAGATCTCAGTCCTGGTCTCAGTCCCAGTCTGGTGCAGATCTCAGTCCTGGTCTCAGTCCCGGTCTCCGTCCCGGTCTGGTCCTGGTCTGAGTCCTGATCATGGACAGTCTACGCAGGAGCACCTCTGGGCCCGTCCCGACACGCAGTCCTGTTTTAGTCGTGTTTTAGTCCATTTTATTAAGTCAAGTCTCAAGTCCTAAAAATAGTGACTCAAGTCTGGCTCGAGTCCAAGTCATGACTTGCAAGTCCCAACCTCTGGTCAAAAGTCTCACAATAACATCTTAGGCCCTCGCAATATATCAAATTACAAGTTCCTTTGCTTAAGTTTTTTGTTTTAGGACAGCATCAACTAAAAAATCCAAGGGAACTACATAGACCATGATCCTTTGCTTCATTTCAGCACAGACAGCATGAAGAAATGATGTTAGTCAGCACTTTAAATCTTAGTTCTTTGGATGATGATAGAAAAGACAGACCAAAGGACTGTCAGGGCATTTTAAAAGGAAAAAAATAGCGCAGAATCGACAAAATATCACAATAAATATCATACCGTGACATGCACATCGTGAAAATATTGTATCGAGGGATTTGGATATCGTTACATCCCTAGTAAAAAGTAAAAGTGTTCATAAGTGTATATATTTTGAATTCTAATAAAGCTTCAAATGGTAGTGATTTTGATACAGATTTGGGCTGAATTTTGTTCAACAGAAACAAATTAATCTGTTTTTTGTATCTGTTTTATTTATTTATTTTTTTTTGTTCAAACTTCCAGCAGGTCTCAAACTATAATAAAAATACTTCTACTTTTCAGTCTTGCTCAAAAATGTAGAAAAATAAAAGTAAAAATCCACTTTAAAATCTACTCGTGTAAAGCACATTTACCAAAAATCTATATCTAGAGGAGCATTGTGTAACTTTTCTTTTGTTATTGCTGTGTCTGGAATGTTTCACAGTGTGGCATTAAACCTTTCTATCATCATGGAGACCAAACCAGACCAAGGTACAGGTCAGATCTGCGGCGAGGCGACCCCGCTCACAGTCATAATGCTGTTTTTCAACGTATTTTTGAGATTAAAACCACCTGTATGTGAATAAAAGTAAAGTAGAGCTGATTAATGTCACACTGTGGAACATTCCAGAGCAATGCATCTTTAAGTAGAGTATTTTACTACTTTTACTTTGTTCCGTTCGACCACTGGATGTAAATATCGAGTGTATGAGCTCGTTGTTTTTGAGCTCGTTATGTAACCGCGCAGTGAAAGAATCTTTGTCAAAATGAAACTTAATTCTTATTGGGAAAACTTTTCTTTTCATTTGCAACAAAGCTACACTGATTCGCGGAAAATAAAAATAAAAGTTGAACAATGCGAGCTTTGTGAAACGGTATTGTGTCATTGGGCAAGACATTTTACTGACCAGGTTTCTAATATTAGTGGCTCGGCTGTAAAAATGTGTTCCAGTAAATGTGTTATTTGAGATGGTCGTTGGGTTTCACGCCCCATTTCTCAGTTGTTTTCAGAAATACTAAAGCAAAAGTGCAATACTCAAGTACAGTTTTTAGAGATCTGTACTTTTAGATTTTAGACTGTGGATACTTTTGACTTTGCACCACTAACGGGTCTAAATGTTATATTAAGCTTTTCCCAAATCCCGTAAGACTTGCAATAACGTCTTTCCCCTTGATAAAATTCACCAAACATTGTCTTTATTCTGGCTTTAAACCGTCGATTTCGGGAATCGTTGTCAACACAGAATATATGTCTCTTCGCTGATTGGCTGGTGCCCGAACTTGCACTTCCGGGGTTTTTACGAACCGTCTAGTGTATTTAAATTCTTGATCTAGTCGCTGGAGAGAAATGAAATTGAGCTGAGGCACTAGGTGGCGCCAGCCTGGCAAAAGAAATCGACTGAATCACTTAAAATCAGCTAAACTCTTTTTCAAACTCACTACGTTTTTTCCTTTAATTGTTCTAAAACTCTCTGCAAAATACTTCTACTTTTTACTCTTAAAGTACATTTTTAAACTTAACTGAATTTTTTCATATGATACTTTTACTTTTACTCGAGTAATCTTTTGCTTTTCTATCTGTACTTTCACTTAAATGTGCACTGTGTAACTTTTCCGGTGGAGCGTCTCTTAAATGCTTTTCTCCTTGGAAATGTTATTGCTTTGTCTGGAATGTTCCGCAGTATGGCATTAAACCTTTCTATCTTCATGAAGACCAAAGCAGAGCGAGTTACAGGTCAGATCTGTGGAGAGGCGACCCCGCTCACAGTCAGAATGTTGTTTTTCTGGGTATTTTTGAGCTATAAAACCACATGAAATTGAATAAAAGTAAAGTAGAGACACTGTGGAACATTCCAGGCAAAGCAACGACATCTCCATAGAAACAAGCAGGTGACAGAAAACCGAAAAGTTACACGGTGCAGCTTTAAGCAACAAACTTGACTCCTACATCCACCGCTGCCTTCAGGCTCTTCTGCAGCGCACAGATTTAGCCGTGGAGTTTTTTTTATTTTTATAGCTGAAGTTGTAAAAAACAGTATGTCCAAATGTGAGCTATGTGTGCAACTCCGACGGCCCTGAATGCTGTTTGTGCGTTACCTTCAAAGAGCTGGGCGTACTGAGGGAAGCCGGCAGCGCGCAGCCAGTCACACGCCTCTTTGGCCTCGATCTCTGAAACACACACAGACAAAGAGCGTTATGTCAACACGAGCGGAGGAGGAGGCATAGATACATAGGGAGGGCATACTGAATGTCACATAGCAATATATCTCGATACGCGATACATAGTCACAGATATTTACATAGTTTGGAGTCACATAATATGATTGATACAACACGGGGATACATGGGATACATATCTCGATACATGAACGATATCTCGATACATAGGCCACTCGATACATACGATACATACGATACATACTCGATACATACGATACATATCTCGATACCACGATAATATGATATACATAATACATACATATCTCGATACATAGGCCACAATACGATACATATCTCGATACATAGACCACAAAATGATAAATATTTTGATACATAGGCCATGATACGATACATACCTCGATACACAGGCACAATACGATACATATCTTGGTACATAGACCATGAAACGATTCATATCTCGATACATAGACCATGATACGATTACATATATCTCGATACATAGACCACAAAATGATAAATATTTTGATACATAGGCCATCGATACGATACATACCTCGATACATACATAGGCACAATACGATACATATCTCGATACATAGACCGCGATACGATACATATCTCGATACATAGACCTCGATACGATACATATCTCGATAAATGGGCCACAAACGATACATATCTCGATACAGTGCACTTTTTATTCTATACGATATATTTCAAAACAATTCAGTACACTTCAACAAAAATAAAGGCTAAATCATGGCTGTGATACTAAAAGTCTTAAATCCACTTCTTGTGCAAAGTTCATATGAAACACAAACATTTTAATCATCAAAACAGTGAAAATTTCATAAGTGTTGCATAAATGAGTTTCCTTCAACTAAAAAAGCAACAAAACTGTAGTGCTGTAACAAAATAATTCAGTAAAATATACCAAAAATACTCTTGGTGATATATATTGATACAGCAGCCCATGATATCGATACTGTATCATCACATTTAACTATACAATATATTGATATGTTGATATTTTTGCACAGCTCTAATTGTAACCACACATTTTTAAAAAGTTGTGACTATTTAAAAGTTTAAAAAAGACTGTACATTTCACTAAAACATTCTTAAAAGGTGCATTGTGTATTTGTGTATTTGTCTGGAATGTTTCACAGTATGGCATTAAACCTTTCTATCTTCATGAAAACCAAACCAGACCAAGTTACAGGTCAGATCTGTGGAGAGGCAACTCCGCTCACAGTCACAATGAACGTTTTTCCAGGTAATTTTGAGCTATAAAAACATCTGTAACTTAATAAATGTAAGGTAGAGCTGTTTTAATGTCACACTGTGGAACATTCCAGGCAGAGCAAGGACATATCTATCCATAGAAACAAGCAGCCATAACGTGAAAAAGGGTCAAAACTCATCAAATTTGCACAGCAGTTAAAATTAAACTAATAAAAATAAATGACAAGCACCTTTATTTTGGTTAAATTACTGTTGTCCCTGCATTTTTGGAAAGGGTTTTTGAGTGTAAATGACATAGCAGAGGCATTTCATTTTCCAATTTTCAGCGCTACTTCCTGTTTTTCCCGTACTCCGATCACTTTTTATCCCACAAACTGCCACTTAATTGACGTAAAACTATTTGGAATGGGACAACATCTCAAGACAGAGACAAAATTGCCATAAAATTGTGCACACAAGAGAAAAATTATCTCGTGAGTTTTGGGTTTTTTTTTTTTCAAGTTTTTACGCCTAAATTTGGACAAAAAAGTGTGAGTTACATCTCTTAAGTTCCAAAAAGCAATACTAGAATGGAAACAAAACTATAAAATCAAATAAATAAAACAATTGTGATGCCAAAATTGGAAACTGAACTGCGAAATTTATATAGGAATTATGTTAAAATCTCGTTTTGTTTTGCATCTTGTCTCGTCTTGCGGAAATTATCTCGTCCAATCCCTAAAAACTATGATTAAGTATTGACCGCGGATACTTTCCCACCAAAATAACCAAAGTACGTCGATGCTGTGATGTGGAGTTTTCGTTACATAACCGTACATAACATAAAAGTGATCTGAGTTATGTTCTTGTGCAACCTTCAGATGTAACTCCCCATATGTGAGCCTCATGTACAAAGACCTACAGTTCAAAATAGAAAGAGCCAAAAGTATTCACATGATGTAAGCCCCCTGTAAACAGACACGCTCGAATGACTCGAATATGAGTTGCCGACGATTCAATTCAATGTATTTTTGTATAGGCTAAAATCATAACAGCAGCAGTTTCAGCTCGTGTTGAGTGTGGAACGTCTGAACTGATCCTGAATGTCGAGACATCAACTCAAACTTCTCTATTTTCCATAAAAAGGGCCCATATTACGAGATTTTCTGATCTATGTTTTAATGTTTCTTCATCACAAACAGACCTGGAGTTATGTTTTTTTTTTTGTTTCATTCACACAAACCCTGTATGAAAGATAATTTAATCCATGTCTCATTCGTTCATTTGTTTTTCAATATAAAACCAAAATTAAGAAAACGAAAAAAACAATATTTGTCTCCAAAACCAAAAGGAAAAAACATCATTATTTGTGTTTAAATGAATAATAGAAAAACAGATAACGGCCCTGACTTGAACACCAGGACTGAACTAGGTCCGACCTGACCAGAACCAGACCGGGACTGAGACCAGAACTTAGACCGGGACTGAGACTGGGAACAGGACCGGGACTGAGACTGGGACTGAGGCCGGGACCAGACCGGGACCGAAAACGGTTTAGTCCTGGTTTAGTCCTGATTCAGTCCATTCAGTCCTGATTCAGTCCGTACTCAAACAGGCAAAATTTTTATTGTGAATTTGAAATCTATTGGAAAATTTCAGCAACTAAAATTCAGCATAAAAAATAAAAATAATTCAATTCTAAGTGAGAAATTCAACGGTATTCAAAATTCAAAATCTGATGGAACAAATTATCTTCCATAACCCTGCCTCTTTCAAACACCGTTACGCTTTGTGATGTCATGCGCAAGGTGACCAGACGTCTCTATTTCCTCAGGACGGTCCCTGTTTTGAGCCCTGTGTCCCCTGTCCCAGCAGATTTATACAAAATGTTGATAGATTTGTCCCAGTTTTATACAAAAAATGTCCCAGGTGTCCCTATTTTTGACCAATTTCATCCCTGTCCATAGTAAAGTGAGGCGTAAATTGTCATTTGTTTAGGTAAAATACAGAAAAGCTGCTTAAAAATGACCAAAACACAAAGAAAATATGACCATACTAACTCACATTAGTGCTGAGTACAGAACAAATATCCTTAATTACACGCACAATTATTACCAACCACCTCAAACCAGGGATATCTCAGTTTTTTATTTTGAAAATCTGGTCACCCTACGCACCATGTGTTTTTAAACTCCATACACCTTCACTATAATTAATTGGATGATTTTGCTCCAGGAATTGCCAATCTCTATTGAACTAAAGACAAAAAAAAAACAGCTTTTAACTTGAAAACTACCTCTTCATGACATCACAAGGTGGATCAGAGCATTTTTGGGCTTTGGAGATGTACACAGACTAACAATAAGTACTCAAAAATGTGTGAATGAAACAACATACAACTCCAAATTATGAAAAAAGAATATAAAATTAGCAGAAAAACTAATAAAACATTAAAAAAAAAAACTACAATATTCATTCCACAGGCAACAAAAACACACAAAAATAATTCTCACCAGATCTGAAATTCTCTTAAAAGACCTCAAAGTCTCCCATCTTTGGTCTCCATGCTGTCTCCTCTTCGATACTAACGTCGCCTCTCTCACTGTTTTTCCCACTAACCTGTGTAGTTTGCCTCACAATGATTAAAAAAAGCAAACACGTGCGTTAGACAAAGATCGATAAAAAGCGACTTTGAGTCAGTTTGCCCGCTAACACGGCCAAACGAACAAATATTAGGATTAGTCTGTGTCCTTGAACCCGTTTGCCGTTGCACGAGATCAACAGCTGGACAAAAACACAGTGACTTTAGTCAATTTATTAACAAAACGCTACACCAACTAACTCAATGTGGCTTTAGACTTATATGTTAATAAATACAGCCACATTTTTTGCACTAAAGCGCTCAGGATTGTGTCGTCATAGTTAAAACTATTTTCAGCTGGAGATTTTCTGAGGCAAAATACTAAACTTTTTTTAAAAACTCTAACAATATGAAGTGGTAGAAAGTGGGAGTCGACTCCTCACTGCTCTACACATTTTCCTACAACTCCCACAATGCATTTCACCACAAATTGAAGTCCATTGCAAACAACAATGACCATTTTATTTTATTTTATACTTACTTTGAACTAGATATCATGTGTTCTTAATAAAGATTTAACTGAATTACGACTTAAATCATTAAAGGAAATGTACAAGCATAAAAATGAGAGATGATTTAGACAACAGGACAATACACACTACGGTGCTGTGAGTTTTTTGGAGGCAAAATCAAAAACAATAGACAAAAGATGCAGCCAAAAGCATGTCAAATCCGAGAATCTAACCCACACATTTTTTTGCTTTGTTAGGTTAGAGTCCACCCACACTCGCCAATAGAATATATAATCGCTCAAAAATGTATGACAAAAAAGTCTCCACCAGGTAGTCGATATTTTTGATGAAATCAATTTAGCATAACATCAATCAATTAATCAATCAAACTTTATTTCTATAGCACCTTCCAACGACCAAAGCCGACCAAAGAGCTGTACAACATTAAAACAAGATAAAAAAACAATAAACATCATACAAATAGGTCAACAAAGCACATTACACCATTAAAATAAAAAAAAGTGTCACAGGGCCACTAAGTGTTAAAAGCCATTCTAAACAAGTAGGTTTTAAGTTTGGCTTTGAGCAAAGGCAGGTCAGGGATGGAGCGTAACTCAATGGGCAAAGACATGACAGAACATTTTAGCATAACATTTTCCAGTTTAGCATAA